CATTTAGGAGCCAGTCTGCAATCACTTAGAAAGGAATGCTGTGATCACTAAAAGTCAACCTAACTATTCCACTTCCTCTACCTTTCCACACACATCCTTCTTTTTGTGATTTGTTTGGCAAGTTACAAAGTCTCATTGTAATTTACCAAACAACAAATTCACCCATAGCTAGGATGGTGAGCCACAATTTAAAGATACCAGTATAACAAACTATAGTTAACAATCACCTTATTTTCTATTTGTGGTTTTGGTGTAAATTATGCATGATCCTTTGTTGGTCTTTCTTTCTTTCAGAAAAAATGTTACTGAAATACTAAGTAAGGGCTTGGAAATCTACAGTAAGTCAAAAAGGGCACATGTGTTGATTTATAGCACTATTTATTTTAGAAATTAATGGTTCTTTCCTGAATTATGGATTTTGCCTCCTAAATCTTTTAAACAATATTTAAACAAAGCTCTGAATATGTAAATATATCCCAAAGAAGTTAAATCAGCATTAGCAGTTATTTCTTGTGGTGTCAAATCACTCTAATCTAGCACAACTACATTAGATGTATTGCTGCTTTTTCTGATAACTTGAATTATTTACATTGTATTTTTAAACATTGAGGTTGCCTTTTGGGAGTATAATATTCAATCTTAATTGTTTTTAGATTATGCTGAAGTTACAAAAGTAAAAAAAAAAGCCAAATCTATATGCTAGCTAATTTTATGAAATAGTAATTAACTGGATTAGTCTGCTCTGTAGTCATCAACTGGAACATTTACTGTTTGTCATGGAAAAACAATTTCCCTGTTTCCTTAGTTGGTTTTTATGCTTCTCTGTTTCACTTTACACTTTTTTGCAGCATTTAGGTCACAATTTTAATATGAGTTTGTGTTGTTCCTGTCAGTTGATTTATAAGGGATTACAGCTGTCCAGTGACTTGTTTTCAAGTTACAATAGTATGCTTCATAAAATAAAACCTTCCTGTTTCCTAACTGACCTGGATGCCATTTCTGATCTTAATAAAAGCACTTTCTAGTATGGTTTCATGAGATTGGTTTCAGTTGTTGCTACCTGAAAATATGGATTATTGTAGGTACTGGGATATGTGCATGCAGCTGTTAGTATTCTTAGCCTGTGGAAATATTGTTTGACAATATAATATTGGTTTCTTACACTGAGCTGAAAAGAAGCTCATTTCTACAA